CGCCGGCGCGGCTCAAGAACACGTGTTCCTCACTACTCATCAAAATACCCAAAGCGCTGGGGGCATTTGGTCGGCGGCCTCGCTCCAGCCCCGGTGGGATGGCGGCTGCGAGCGGGAGTGCTGGGAGAGTGGTGCAAAGGCAGGAGCCGCTTGCCGGGACATTCCCCCCAGGGTCTCTGTTGTGATGCCGGGTTCTACGCTGCTTCCCCAAGTCCTGAGCCAGCGTGATCACAGCGCGCCTTTGCCTGTGGAGTGGCCACTGTTTCCCTCCCTGTCAATGAGCCCGCACTGTTGTCCTGCTGTGCACATTCACTGGAGGGGCCCTGGATGAGTGAGACCCCGGGAACATCAAGGGCAAAGCACACTGAGGGACTGTCTAGCTACTGTTTTATGACAGCCCTGGGGCATTTCAAGGAGAAAGAACATGGAGCTCAACACAGAACAAGTCAGCCTCACCATTTGTGCACCCCAATAATCTCAGGAGAAACGTACGGCCTTTCCAACCATCCCCTAAAAGGTCCACGACCCTGGCCTCCTCTCCTCCTGCCCACACAGTGTCACAGCTCCCTCTCCCTGCAGGCTCAGCACAGTTGGCACGACCGTGCCCCAGCCGGGATGCTCTTCCTGGCCCAGTGTCACGCCCCGCATGTCAGCTCAGGGTCAGCTCTCAGCTGAGGCTCAGGCCCCAGGAGCAGCTCACAGTGGCATCCAGAGCTTTGGGGGAAAAGCACCTTAATCCAAGTGAGATCCCCCCAATGACTCAGAGGGAACTGATCCATTCTCTGGGTTGCTGGAATCTCACGTTAGGTATTCTCGGCGATAAGTGGGCCAGAGGCTAATGCTAAGAAATCTTTTATAAGAAAGAGATTCAGGTTATGATGCAACTGTTGTTACATGCTTTGACCTGAATAGGAGAAGCAGCTGTTAAGCAGAGTTTTCTCGACAGAGCTGTTTGAGGACAATGGTGCTAAATCCCCTGGGGCAGGGAGCAGCTCTCTAATAAAACTTTGAAGACCACCCACTGCCCCCCAGAAGGAATTCTTGCTGCGGAAACTAGAGAGAGACAAGCATGCCCGGGGTGGCCAATGAACGTGGACTGCAGAGTCATGGGGCCAGAGAGCAAACTCTGACCTCTGGGCGACCTTGGGGCCCTTGGTTGTGACTTCTGAGCCTCAGACTCCCAGCAATGACTGGGAAGAGTGGGGTCTAACTCCAGCAGCTGTGAACATGAGCCTGCATTTGCGAAAGCACCAGGCACCGTCCAGGGCGTGCAGTAAGTCCGCGATCACAGCAGCCTTTACCCCTTCTCTTCTAAAACCAGCATTTTTAATGCAATTTTCTAAACATCTCAGTCGATTTTTTTTTTTTATTATTGCTCCAGTGAACAACAATGTCCCTTCTGGCCTGAGGTCTCCAGTGCAAACATTCTTGGAAAGAGAATCAGAGGACTTTGGAGCTAACCTACTTCTGGACTTAGAAATCAGACCCTGTCTGGGCCTGGCTCCCGGGCGGCGCATAACAAGACTGCTTCCCACTCGCCCCCACGGTGGCAACGAGAATACTGTGGAAGATGCAGGAGGAAGCACTTGGGAGCCACACAGTGCTCTGGAGGGGAGGAAGGCAGCATCCCATGGTGTGGTTCCGAGAGAGACATCGCCATCCCTCTGTGATCGGTCATGTCTGAACCCCAAGAAGAGATGAGCCAGCTGTAGAGGTGAAAGGAGACCCCACAAACAATCCAAGTTCCACGGCAATGGCCAAAGTGTCTCAGGGCAGGTGGACATAAAGAAAGTGTGAGCCCATTAAGTGCAGCTGCTGGGCCTCTCTGGGACTCCCAGCATTGAGGGGGGCCATCAGATGGGGGGACTAAGTGGGAAGGAGAGAGGCGCCCTCCAGGCTGACTGTCAGCATGCAAGGGGGCAGGGATCTCAGAGAGGACAGCGTGGGAGGACAGGAAGCAGCTTTTCCTGAGCGAAGTCTTGATCAGAATCGCCACCAAGGCCACCTAATACTACCTCTGGGGCTACTGTGACCACCCCCCATAACAGCAACAATTACTCTTTCTGCAACTGCCTACCTGAGCTCTGTGTACTGGGCAGGGGAACCCCCTATGAATCTTTCCCACACCCCACCCCAAAGAGGATGCTATTAGCTAACCCTTTTTACAGATCAGCAAATAGCTATTCCAATGGTCAGTGTAGACCACTGGACTCTTTCTTAAGATCGGGGTGGGAAATAAAGATCAAGAATATTCTAGTCCCTTGATGTATACAAATCAAAGCTTCCTTTATGAACTTTGATAACACACAGAGACCATCCAGGGGAGACGGTCAGTCACTCATAAACCTCGGAGCAGGACACCACTGTCCTAATCCCCAGCCTTCTTCGTGGCCAGGAGCTTGACCTTCCAATGACTGAGGCCACCCAGGGGTGGGGGCAGCCGAGCCAATCAGAACCATTTGGAAAACTTGACATCAGTACACGGGACAGTGATTTCACTTCCTGCTTCTTATTCTGTAGAGAAGACTTCTCAGCCACCACTCTAAAAAAAAAAGAAAGCAGAAGCCGCCCAGCCAGACTCGGCGATTAGTGCTGGAGTAAGTGATCATCTTGTGATTGCTCAGCTGGGGCCTGAAGACTTGTAAATGCATTTGGAGGACAGAAATAGAAGATGTGAGAGAGCAGAGAAACCTGGCCCATTTGCCGGGAGAAAATGTCCCGAAGCTGCCGGGAAATTCACTCTGTCGGATGTGGGGTGCGCCCTCAGAAGTGGACATAGTTATTATTAAATAAGCCCGTTGATGAGGCCAGTGCAACAGTCCTGACTTCTTGACTCTTGTCTCTGCGACCCCTGCCCCCAGGCGCCTCCTCTGTGTCTGGAGCCCCCAGCCAGGCCCTGAAACTGCTCACTCCAGCTGAGATCCCACCGTGCCCCCAGACTCAGCAGGCCCCAGACGGATGGCGAGTCCAAACTCCTGCAGCCGACAGCGAAAGCCGGGCAAGCAGCCAGGAGAAGTCAGGGCCCAGCTCAAGGGCAGCCTTGGCGTCATCCGAGCCTCCTGCGCCCAGAGACGGGATTCTTCAAAGACCCCCAGCCTGTCCCTGCCACCACCCAGATCACCCCTCAAGAGATAGTGGGTCACAGCCCCTTCTGAGATCTCAAGGGCAAAGCAAAAACATGTCCCAGAAGCACCCTGGTTAGAGCCCCCCCTCCAGAGTAACCCCAGAGGCACCTCTGCCAGCTCCTACAGAGGCCCTTAGATAAGTGATGGGTCCCAAAGACCTCCAGATGTCCCCAAGAGCTTTGGGGAAACAGGCCCTGTAGCTCCAGGCCCCCGGCCACCGTCCTCCCCAGGGACAGAGGTTTTTGCAGCTGGGCCCTCCCCAGGTGTGACCGTGGCCGAGGGCACCCTCCACCCACGGGCCAGGTCTGTTTGGCTTGTGGGGGGACGGGTCTTGCTTTCAGTTGGCTGCATGCAAAACCTGAGCTGTTTCCAGCTGTTCTTGAGAAAGCAGCACGGGCCCCCACGGCCACATGGAACTGCTTACTGGCTGCCCCTCCCCAGGGGGCCGCCTCCACTGGCCCCCTGCCCACCGCCACCCCAGGCACTTAGCTTCCTGACCCTGCGTGAGTCAGCAGGAAAAGGGAAACCGCTCAGAGGTCAAAAGCTTCTCCTCCCGGGCATCTAACATGGAAACGCAAACTACCAATAAAATAAACACCTGGAACATCTGGCTGGGGCTCCCTCTGGCCCTGCCTTGGCCTCCAGCTGCAAAGAGCACACATCAGAGGAACCCGCCCACCGAGGCAACAGGGCGAGGGCACCAGCTCAACCAGACAGTTGACTAGGAGGTCTCACCCCCCACAGCCGGGACAAGGACCTGGCAACGGCCGCCCAAGGGGCTTTCCCCAGATGGAGGAAGGAGCGAGCGTTCAGCACCCAGCAGGGGTGGCTGCAACTGATGAAAAAGAATGTCTGTGGGGTACTCCATGGGTGCTGGGAAAACACACAGCGCCCCAAGGGTGAGGCTAGGACCCTAGAAAAGAAACAGCCCCCTGCAGAATTCCCCGGGTTCCTCTCTTCCCTACCGCCCCTCCCACTGCTCTGCTGCATCATAGGGGGCCCCCCCTTATCAAATGTGAAGAGCACCCTCCAGGGTACCAAAAAGGGACCAAAAGAAAGGGACCAAAAGAAAGACTCATCAGCACCTCACTTCTCTCTTGTCTCCCCAAATACAAAAGACTCCCATCACCTGGCTCCTGGGGCATCCCCACTCTTAGGGAAGGTGCTCGTGGGCATGCCTGGGGGACGGGAGGGGTGGGCACCCACACTGCTCACCCTAGTGGTCTCCGCCCAGCTTTCCCAGGACATGGCGATTCTCCCATGTGCCCCAGCGCCTTCAGCCCAGAGAGAGGCTGGGGGAGGATGCGCCACGCTGGGCGACTCTGTCCCCATGGGTCCCGGAGCCATCCCCGGGGAGGGACTCTGCCATCACCAGGGCAGGCACAGAGGAGGAGTCCCACCCGAGCCGGGGCCCAGCCTGTCCCAACACAGCCGCGAGGCCCTGCGCACAAAGGCCCCGCTTTCCCGTCTCTGCGGCTCCCCAGCAGAACCTCTGCCGGGGCCCCCACCCCACACCACGGCCGTGGGTCCGAGGATGGTCCAGCCGCTCAGCGCCCACAGCCCTTGAGTGGCACTTCTGGTCACTCGCGTTCCCACAAAACCGCAAATGTCACCATTAAAGGGGGAGAGAAGGGCCTGGGAGGCCCGGACTTTCCCTCTGGGCCCGGCGCTCAGGCTTTATCCTCTGACAGGCCCCTCAGACACCATCAAACCCCAAATCCTCATTTTAGAAGCCAAATGTGAGGCAGGGGAAGTTTAGGGACTGGTCCCGGGGCGCAGAGCCCCAAAGGCCACCCTGCTCACTGGCCTCCGGCACCGCTGCCAGGCCTGCTGGCTGCCCCCTCCCACCCCGGCCCCGACCCCAGCCCCACTCACATATAGCGCAGGTGAGGGTTCTTGGCAAAGGCTCTGGGCTGGATGCTCCGAAGTCCTGAGTTCTTGATGGTCCTGGGGAAGAGAAAGGGAGGGTCCGTCCGCAGGGTGGACAGGGCGGGACCTCGGCCCTGGGGGGCTCCAGGGAGACAGCCAAGGCTGGACCTGCCACAGCGTCCGCTGAACAGAAAGCCCCCTCCTCACCAACCATCACAGGGGCCCCGGGGGGCCCTGTGGGTGCAGCACACCCTCGGAACCAGAGTGTGGGGTAGGAGTGGGCGCTGCTGAGGCTGACCCCTGGCCAGTTGGTGAGCCGTGCGTCCTGCTCCAGGATCTGCTCGGGCAACTACAGTCCCCAAATCCCCCTCTAACCCCCCAAAGGCCTATAGCCTAGCAGTGGAGTCAGAGGAGGGGGTGGCCGGGGACAGAACAACAGCCAGGATGACCTGGGCCCAGGTACCCCCTTGATACCCTAACTACAGGGAGAGACTTCCCGCCACCCCTTGCCTCTCAGAATGCAGGTGAGGCCAGAGAAGGACCGACTGCCTCAGCAGCGTGCCGACTCTTCCACACCTGCCTGGGGCAGCCAGCACCAGCTCCCCGGGCCTCGGCCGCCCCAGTCCGCCCACCCAGGCACTCACAGCTTCTGGAGACCGGTGTAGAGCTCCATGTCCACGGCATTGAGCGTGTGCAGGCCGCGCCAGTTCTCGATGTGTCTGCAGAGGAAGGAGGTTGGTCAGTCAGAGTGGCCTGGGCCCCGGCCCACCAGGCCACATGCCAGCCCATCCCCCCACCAAGCCACCCAATTTCTCCAGGCCTCAGGGTCCTCCGCGTGGTGCCCCCAGCCAGACAGGGGCACAGTGCACCCCAATACGCCCGACCCACAGGCGGCATCAACTCCCCCCTCCAGAAAGATCACTCCCCAGAGACCCGGCTCCCTGCGTGTCCCCCACCTGCTTTCTCTCCCTTTCCCCTTCCCCTTTTAGAATCTCCCAAAGCCAGCTTGTTTGCTTAGTCCCTGCCCATAAAGATGCACAATACTATGGTTGCAAAAGGGGCTGGGTGCCAGCCAGTGGGCACGGTCCTCAAGGGGAAAAGCCCAGGACGACGGCACATCCATCCGTCCAGGGGTCCCAGGGCCCCGCCACTGCTCCCTGCCTCGGCGGCCACAGCCCAACCCCCCTGGAGCTCAGAAACCAAGGCCTGAGCTGACAGAACCGACTCCACACAGGAAGAGGCGGCTGCAGGAGTACATGCCATGGAGAGGAGTGACCGCAGGGCCGGGCGCCCGGCCCAGCTCGCCCTGCGGCTCTGATTGACCAGTGGTCTTGAACAAGAATGGTGGCTTCTCTGGGAAGGAGAAGGGTGCACAGCCAGCAGCACCCCCCATCACCAGGATCTCCTTGTAGAAGCTTTCTCCCAAGCGACTCACGCTTAGGGAAGCCTGCATGGAGCAAGCACCCTGCATGTATTAAGTAGCAATTAATTCATCTTCTTGGAAACAGTAATCAAAGATATAAATCATCGCTAACCAGAACCCTTTATCAACAACATAAACCAGAGGATAAATCCAGCCCAGAGCAAAGGAACTCAAAGTTCTGTTCGCAAGGGAGGGCTTGGCGCACATGTATTTTGATTTCTGTTCATTTTCTCTTATTTATTTATTTATACAAGCACTGGGTACAGTCAGAAGCGTGGGAGGACGAGAGAATTCACCAGAGCCAGAGCGGGGAACAGAACAGGCAGACTGACGAAATACACTGCTGAGGGGAGCAGCGGGTGCAGCAGGAGAGTCACACCATGTGGGGCCCTCGCCGGTGGCCGGGGATCGAACCAGCGCTACAGAGGCTGTAGGCAGCTTAGCAGCCCATCACTCAACCACTGCGCCACCAGGAGAGGCCCCGTTCATTTTTTTATGTTAACTAAATGCCAGGGACAAACACCCCCCCCCCACAGGCTGGGTCACCAGATCCTCTTCCAGCTCTAGCCATGTGGGGTATTGTGCATCCCAGGAGCTCTGGGGAGTCAGGGGTCAGGACAGGGACTTCTGCCATTGCCCCCACCCTTGGCGTCTCACTCCAGCTCCCGTCACCCCACCACCCACCCACCCAAGGGAGCCAAAGAGGTGGCAGCTTACCCAAGACAAAGCTGGCAGCCCCTTTCCCCAGACACCTCCTCCCTGGCACCCCTACACAGGGCTCTGCTATCTGTACCGTGGGGGGGCCACAGCCAGGAAGGCCATGGGGCGGGGTGGCCAGACCCCTGGAAGCATTTCAGAGCCCATGGTGACAAGTGTGCCAAGAGCCCCTTCTGCATCACATCCTCTCGGGGCCTCTGCAGCCAGACACGCCAGCATCTGCTGGGGACATGAGCCAAACGCCAGATCGGTCCTGGATTCCAGCTCCAAAGTCCTCTCCCTCCAACCCCGTAGCCCTGGCGGGTGGCTGGGTCTGTCTCAGGGTAGGGACCTTGGCTGCATTTCAGGTGGAAAGGAAGAGGCCAGAAGGGGCAGGGGACATGTGCCCGTGCCCCACCCCACCCCGGGAGGGTATTCACGGGGCGGTGGATTCCCAGAGACCACCGTTCACCCGCTGGCCCACGTCAGGCAGGGGTCTGCTCCCAGCAGCAGCTGTCAGCCAAAGTGTTTAAAGAAATGAAATCATTCCTCTTCGTCCAAATTAGAATTCCACAAATATGTCTGCATTATGGTTGAGCTGTCAATCACTGCTGTGTTCTTAAACTTTGCCCTTCCCACCCTGAAGCCCTGATGTCCCAGACGGACTCCATCCAGATGCACGCAGGGGAGGCGGAGGTCAGCAGGGCGAGGACTGAACTTTCTGGTCAGGGTTCCTGCCCCCTTGGGGGACTCCTAGGTGGGGGTGGCGTTGTCACAAGCACAGAGCAGCAGGGAGCTTGGGTTGGGGTTCCAGGCACTGTCAACAGCCACAGCACGGGCCAGATCCAGCTCCCCCCTGCTTCCACGCAGCCTGGGAGCTAAGAATCATTTTCTACAGTTTTTAAAATATAGAAAGTAGAATCCTACTTCGTGAGACGAAAGTGCTATGAGATTCAAGTCTTCGTGTTCGTGCGCGTTAATTTACTATCATCTCAGCAGCTGCCAAAACACGGGGTGCCGTCAGGGACCCCAGGGCCCGAGAAGTCCCCGCAACTGACTTTCTGGGGGTTTACGGGCGCCGACCAGCCGTGCGCCAGGATGCCAGCCCTGGACGATACCACACGTGAGCAGCCGGGTCCGGCCCGCTGTGCCCCAGGGTCGCCCCGCCCCGGCCGGTGGGCATGGCAGACCCCGCGGTGCAGGTGCCTCCGAGGGCGGAGGGCAGCTCGGGGTTTGCAGTCCGTCCCAGGAAGCGCCAGCCGTGAGGGTTATTTTCATCCTGTGCCTTACAGAGGCTGAGCAGGTTGTTTTTCTCAGTTTTCAAGCTAAAAATGGCGCTGCTGGAAGTTGTCATTTCTCAGCCATCATTGATAAAGACTCCATGTGGCAGAGGGAGGGGGTGGCGAGCCCATCATTCAGGACCTCCAGGCAAAGCGGGGGCATGCAGGTGCCGGGGCGCTTGGCGGCAGCTGGGGCAGGTCCCCGGGGAGCAGGCGAGGGGGCGCATAGCCAGGGCACCTGCCCGGCTTACCCATGACCACGCTTGGGGCCAGCCCAGGGCAGGGTCAGCGCTGCCAGCTGCTTCGTGCCACGGGGCCGGCGCCAAGGGGGGAAGGCGGCTCTCAGAGTGCTGGGAATGATGCAGGTAAAGACGCGGGCAGTCGTTTGCCTTGGTTGGTGGTAAATGGCAGTTCCCGGGCCAAGGGGATGACACGTGGCTCCCCCTTCTGTGCGCTTCTGGCTGCCCAGTGGTCTTCATGCAGCGCTTATTTTGTCAATTGAAAAAAAAATCAGTAATAGTCATTGTTGAAGGGAAGCTGGGTGCCTGACCCCATGCCGGGCACTTCTGAGTCACCCTGTCCAGGACCAGCGTCCTGCAGAGCCATCTCATGGACCAGCCCTGCCTCGGGGGAGGGAGGACTCAGAGCCACGCCAGCGCCGGGTCAGCAGACAGTGGCCCTCTGCACGGAGGCCATGTCCACAGGCTGCAGCTTCTTGCATCGGGTGGGGGCGGGGACAGAGGCGGAGGGAGGCAAAGTGGGGGGCCTCCGGCTCCTGTTTCTCCTTAAGAGTGACTTCCAGTCCGGGGTCCTTAGGACAGTGAGTCTCAGCAGGAGGCAACCTGGCTCCTGGAGGACACTGCCATGCCTGGAGAACTCTAGGGCGTTTGCAATTGGGGGAAAGGACGTTGCCCTGGCACCTACAGGTGGAGACCAGGGAGGCCCCTAAAGGTTACATTAATGCACAGGCCGCCCCCCTGTCCCCAGCGACCAAGAACTGCCCCAATACCACTCAGGAGCCTTGTCGTACTGCTCGGGGGCCCCCCGAAGGTCACCATTACAGAGTTCCCAGCTTCGAACAACAGGTCTGAAAGCTAGGGCTCCGTCGCGGACCCTAACCCGAACGTCGGTCCAGGCGGCTGGGTCCAGCTGAGAGGAGACCACCCACGGCCAGGCCCCGGGCCCCTCTGTCAAGGGCGCAGCTGCGGGAGATGAGGGCCTCCGTGGTCCCCTGGTCCGTGGCTCCACCGACCACACAAGCAGGAATGTGCCTCCTCACGCAGTCCCGGCTGGAGTCCCCAGCCAAGGGCCCTCCCTCTCGCGTCTCTAAGGCCTCACTCTTCGTTGCATCAGAAAAACAAAGCCACCCCCAGAGTCAGGTCAGCGCCCAGTCCCTCCCCTGCACCCACGGCCCCGCTTGGCCACCAATCACACTGCCCAAGAGCAGTGTGTTTCCAGAGAGGGGAACAAGTGGGGCTTGACCCCCCACTCCTCCGCGAGGTCCCGCCATTCGTGCAGTCAGAGAACAAGCTGCCAGGGACGTGAGGGCCAGAGTGTGGGCAAAGCGTTGAGAAGTGACAACACCTTGGATGCGCAGCACCAGGTCCTGGCCAGAGACACCCAAGCCACCGAGAGCGGCCTCTCCCTTTGCGGGTGAGGGAAGGCACCGTTGAGGATTAACACATCCATTGAGAACACAAAACTCTGCTGTGCTAGAATAAATCAATTGTGCTTTTGTGCCCGAACGCTCTTCCTCCTTCTGCTTGGCTTGGGCCAACATGGAAATGAATTGGCAATCCCAAGCATGCAAAGCCGGGATGGTGCAGCCTGTGTGGCCCATATTTTAATTAAAAACATGTCATGTGGATATATTTAAGAGTTGTTTATGCCTCCAATATTTAAGTCCTATCCATGGAACATTCCAGAACATGGAGATGCCCTTCCCCATCTAATACCAGGGACTAGGTTCTTGGGGAAGCCCATGAAGAGGCAAGGCACCCTCACCCAACAGGATGTCCCTCCACCTGGGGTCTCAAGAAGACAGGGGACGGGGTGGGGGTGGGGAGGCATTGCTGCGCCCCCGCTTCAGGCACTCTGGGCCAGTGTGGCCCCTTTCCTACCATTCCTCGCCCCTCCCTGCTGTCAGATGGCTGTTATTTTCAGTGTGACTTCTCACCGCTATTAATGAGCTGTTCTTCATAACCAAAGTTTCCAGACAACTAAATTTAAGTGCAAAACCACTGCAGGTTCAACCTCCTCACTGGATGTTTCTTTCTCCCCCTAAGAGTCACCCCACGCCTCCTTGACATTTGCAGCAGAT